TGAAATGGTAAAAAATAAATAATTTTATTTATTTTTATATTCGCTGACGCTTCGGCCAGAAGTTCAGGCCTTCATCAGGGCTGGGAAAAGAACCAGATAACAATAGGTATTGTTATAGACATTGAATAATACATAATTAGGATTAAAAAAGGATGATAGGTAAAGACTAACAACTTTTAGTAGAACTTAACTTAACGTTCATTCTATCTACTTCATTTTAAGTTAAGTTATTCTACTAAAAATTATTAGTATTTAACTATAACCCATTTTTAATCTTAGTTCTGTATTATTCAATGTTATTATACCTATTATTATATGGTTCTTTTCCCAGCCCTGATGAAGGCCTGAACTTCGGGCAGAAACTTTGGCGAATATAAAAATAAAAAAAATTATTTATTTTTTTAACCATTTCAATTTGACGGAACGAATAATCGAAGTGAAGGATGGTTAGGGTCATCCTTCTCTTCAATTATTCACTACAGTCAACCATGAAGCCACAATTATTATAAATTAAATAAACCAATGAGTGCTCATAGTAAAGTAGTTCGAGTAAATTTTTGTTATGATAAAGTAAAGTAGATTCGTCTTTAATGTCCTTTGAAAACGAAAATTGTGATTGGTTTTCTTTTCCGCACGACTAAAGCCTTCACAAATTCTGAGATTTTTTTTTCAAACTTCAATTTTAACATAGCTGTTGAAAAAACTTCCAACCCAACTCGATAACTTTTATATTTTATTATTTTTACAGCTAGAAATTAACAGGACCTTCTTAATAAAATTGGATTTTATATCTCGAGTACTAATTTGTTTACGGAAGTCGGTTATGTACCATTTTATGTACACAATGTACAGTTTATGAACATAGAGCTCTAAATTCTTAATAATGTTCGTGTGAATCTGTGGTAGTTCTAAAGGTATTACAATTTTTGTGTTTTAGTTTTATTGACAGTAGTAATTTCAAACAAGTCATTGATCATTCGATTCAGATAATTTTTTTTTGCCTTTTAGGGAATTAGGAAACCATTCTAATAATCACGAGTATAATTCAGCATAATTTGTATACTTTTTAAGTTATGTCCAAAAACAGATTCGTGTTCTTCATAATATTTTTTTTCAAAATCTTCCGTATAATGTGCTCATTCTTCGGCATCGTATGAGAAAGTAATTTTCAAAATAATGAATCAATCATTGGATTTGATGAAGACTTAATAATGATTTAAGGCAATAATAAAAATAAACCTTTGAGAAATAGTACAAATATTTGTGCAAATGCATTAATTAATAATTACAAGAATGGTCCTACATCGAAGCATAAGTCAATTTATGTATGTACAATTAGATAAATAGCTAATTTTGTTGATAAATCAAACGTTAAAGTAAGTTATTGGATTCAGTAACGATTAAAAATACTTTAGTGAAACATTGTTTAAAATTCTACATTTTAATTGATGGGTGGAACAACACGAAATATAAGTAACGGCAGGTAGTGTCATGACAGAAACGTTTGGAATCGACCTAACAATACAATACAAATACACTTTTTGAATAAAATGTAAACTTTTATAAAATAATGTATTAACCTAACCTCCATACCATATAATCAATGCCTTCCACATTCACAGCCATTGTATTGTTAACAGTTATTTACATTAATTTCAATTATTAAATAGAATTCAATGAAATTGATACTAGGCAATTCCTGCACTAATCTCAAAAATCCATCCAAATTAGCGTCAAATCGAACGAACGATTTTCAAATTATTGACGTGTCAAATATCAAGTTTGCTGACCTGAAAGCGGAAGTATTTTTTTTTTAAAGTAGTTGATAGAATTTGATTATCTGTTTACAATCCCTAACTTTTTCCAAATTTGATCCAACGGTTTTAGAGATTTGGAAGTATCAGGGAAACACGTTTCCGCATATATGTATAAAAGAAAGTAGTAAACTGAATTCAATAAAATTTATACCAAATATTTTTTTTGCTAATACCTATCTTAGTCCAGCTTAGAACCAAATCGAACGAGTAGTTTCTTAAACATTAGCATATATTTAAAAATTAAAAATCGTTTAGGCATGTGTAAGTAGAAGTTCTAGATGCAATTTGATAAAATTCATATGGGACCATCTAATCTCTACAATCTATAAAATTTCATGAAAATCAGTTAAACGGTTGAAGGTGATATGGCTGTCACGTCGATAGCACTACAGACAGACATCAAACCAAATTTGATCCTTGATGTCTGAAATATAAAAGGGGAGTAAAATTTTAGATTCTGAGCACAATTTTTTTTTTTTTAACCTCACGAATACAAAGCTTCTCTACCTTTGGAAGGAGCGAAATTTGGATGATATGTAGATTTAATATGAATTTATTTTTCATTTATTTATTATGTATGTTTCAATTAACTTCTCAGCATCACTACAGAAGTAATTACTTAAATTGAATCATAACTGAAGCAAGGAAAAATATTAAAATGTAGATATACATTTATTCTAAAGTTAAATATATGCTGAGTAAGCATGTGACGAAGATAAAAGAGGTCGTTTGGAGAGAGGAGAGATTAGAATTTCCAATTGTGGAAGATGAAGATGAGAGTGCTGAAGCATTTCCCATTCCGCCACTGCTCACTAATTCCACGGCTCGGTGGAAATGTCAAGGGGGGGGGGCGCTCTCTAATATCTAGAATTATAACGATATGAAATATCAAAGATTACCGTAAGTCATGAAACCAATCTCATTTAGGAAATTGTATTATGTACTGTTAATTTTATTCCTTTTTAAATTAACATGTCAATATTCATTTTTTTCCTTTTACCACCTGGCCTTTTGTAGCTTACAAGAAAATAAATTTCAACTCGCTCTAACCGGATTCGAATTGACGCACAGTGGGCTGTCTCTTCAAAAATATGCGTTTGACCAATAGAGATAAACCTTTGTAAAAAGTTAGAACTAAATTCAAATAAATTTAATATTTAAAAAGGTACAATTATAATATTATTTCAACAGCTATTTGAATTTAAATATAAAGAAACGCATACAAATTTTAATAAGCTATAAAGTTCCAGGTATCAAAGGTTCTACGATAACTATAAAAAACGAAGGGGATATTAGGGTTAGGTTAAAGATTAGAAATTTTATTTGCAAAAACTACTTAGTTGGGGTCTCTTGTCTCGAAACTTAAAAACTACAATCTACGGTTCTTCATGGATGCGAAACGTGGCCGATTTCATTAAGACATGAACAACGTCTTAAGATTTTTGAAAAAGTGTTGCGCAGAATATTCGGATCATTGCGGTTACACAACGCTGAATTGCTCGAACTGTATCCGGTTAATATAACTGAGTTAATATGATTAAGTTGATAAGAATAAAATAGGTATATAAAATTGCTGGGATTAGTAACGGAAGAATTCCTAAAAAATCCAAAGCGAATTTGGAATGGTTGCGCTAAGGCTGATAATGGCTAATAAAAATAAAATCAATATAAAACAAAAGACCATGTGGAAGGCCAAAAAGTGAATGGTTGGATAGAATCAGTAAAGATGCAACTTAGCTGCGTGCAGATAAATGGAAAGCAATAGGCCAAAACAGGCAGAGATGGAGCAGTCCTTTTAAGGTGGCAAGTAGACTACATAGTCTGTGATGTCAACAGAACAAAAGAAGAACAAAAAATATTTAAAGATAACTGACATTAAAAGACTGACATGGAGCCCAAATAAAAGACTCAAAAGACAAGAACACAACCGACGATGTGGCCAGCTATATAGACTACTGGACAGAAAATCTCAACTTTCAATTGACAACAAACTACTGATCTACAAGATAATACTGAAACCTATTTGGACCTACGGACTGGAACTGTGGGGGACAGCAAAATTTTCTAACATCAAACTCATTCAATCTTTTCAGTCCAAAGACCTTCGAACAATAGTTGGTGCTCCGTTCTATGTAACCAACCAAACCATACATCATGACCTTAATATCCCATTTGTCCTAGATCTTATCCCTCAAAAGTTTTCCAAATTTGACCAAAACCTTACATATCATCCAAATCCAATTGCACAATCCATATCTAGTTCCAGCCATCCCTACAATCCTCCTCGAAGGTTGAAGTGGCAGTGGCCCAGTGACTTGTAGGAATATATAGGAGTTATGCCAATGGCCAACTTCTCCACTCAAGCCATGTATGTCTAGTTTATTTATTTTGTTAGATTGGTTTATTTTTATTTAGTTTGTATACAATTTACTTTAGTATTATTATATTATATTAGTATTATTATATTTACTTTAGTATTATTATATTTCTGAACCGAAAAGAGGTGAACAAGGAAACGGAGATGACGGTCTACAGATCAGTATTCCTTCCTATACTGACGTATTCCTCCGAGTCCTGGAAACTTACTTCGATACACAGGAGCTAGAGATGCAATACCTGCGAAAAGTGAAGAAAAAGACTAGACGAGGCAGAATTTGCAATACTACAATCCGCGCCAATCTCGACGCCAAAACGGTCGAAACCATTATAGATGAACACAAGTTGAGATGGTTTGGGCACCTTCTCCGTATGGACCGGAACTGAGTCGCACGGAAGAGACTCGCGTGCAGGGTAGGAGACCAAGAGGAAGACCCAGAATCTCCTGGAAAGAAGGCGTGAGAGATGCATTCCAGAAGCGAGGTTTGGAATGGAACAGGAGACGAGAGCTGGTACTGGAAAGGTCCACCTGGCACAAGCTCTACAAGAAGCAACCTCACACTGCATAGGCGGTAAAGAGGAATATGAATATGATGATGATGATGATTATATTGCTCTTTATTATTTTTATTTATTTTATGGTATGAATGAGCTACTCTATATCACTATTACTATTGCCCTTGAATGTGACAGATTGGAATATCTCAATAAAGAAGTTTAAAAATAAATAAAAGATGACGAAAACGATAATCTCCCAATAATAAGTAATACATCATAATTCTAACTTATATCAATCATATGGTAACTATTTAGGTTACGAATATTGACACAGTCAACGAAAACATGTTATCTCGCTATGTTTTTAATATATATATTAGTTCAATCAAATGTAATGTAAAAACTATGGATTTTAATACATAATTTCGGAAGCATAAAGTAATGTAAAACTAATTGAGCCATGTTGTGATATTGGTATATGTGTGGGAATGTACTGTCTTGTTTGAAAGGCAATGCTTCAGAATCAGCTAGTCTCACATATTTTGGGAGAAGGGAAGAAGATTACACAGGTACCAAAGTTCTGCGGAGGTTCGATGACAGCGGTACGTTCACTTTAGGCGAGCTTCATTCTCTCATTAGTGATGTCAGCGACGAGGAAGTAGAAGTTGAAAGTGTTAATACGGAAACAAATCCAGATGATGCGAGCCAGCCGGAAAGTGAGGGTCCGAAAATTGGATATTTAGATGAAGAATTAGAAGGATCCGAAAGCGATCCTAATTACGCCTACCTTCACCCAGTTCCAAGCAGTGATAATTACCAAGCGATGTCCAGGGTGACCGATATAATAAAACTTTCGGACCTGTCAACGAGGTTGGACACGTCCATCTATGAGGGTCGTTCCGTGCACCGAGGTTCAACCGAGGGCGAGCTACAACCAGGATTGCGTTCCATATTGAAGCATAATCCTGTGGAACCAGAACCACAGGCAGGTTCCTCCAGGGCAGAGGAAATCAAACCAGATTCACAAAAGACAGAAATACCCGATAGCTTCAATAAAAATAAAGATGATTTACCTGAGAATACCGAAGAAAAGTAACTAAGCTTCAATTAATTTTGTACATAAATTGTGCGTGATTTTACATGATGTTTGTAAATATAATATATATTTTACGAGACCACATATGTTTTATTTATAAAGCCAAGTAGATAATGTCTGTAATAATTAAACAAAAACGCTGAAAATTATTATACAATGATTAACTTTCTTGCTGCTTGGCACTACACACAGTGAGACAAAGCGCTAAAATCAACTCCCGCAATACCCTTTCCCGGTCTTCAGATTTATATACAATGGTTCACCGAACCACTGCTTTCGATAAATCTTTTATTATTCGATCCTCTTCCCTATGGAACTCCATCCCTCCCCACATCCATCAATCCAAAACCCCTCCTACATTTAAATCCCGCCTGTTTAATCATTTCTTATCCATCCAGTCCTCATAAAATTGTAAATAGTTACTACTGTAAATATGTATATAAATTATTATATCGTTCTTTATTATTTTTACTTCATGTTTATTTTCAATATTTTATTTTTTATTATTAACTGATGTAAATTATATAGCCTAAAAGGCGAGGTAGGGAAGAACAAAAAAAAAAAAATTGAAAGTAACTTATGATTTCTCTTATTATTTTTTTAATTTATTTATATATTTTATTTTATTTTTACTATTTAATGAAACTATATTTTTGTTTATGTATCTCTGAGGCTCCTTAGCCCACATTTTTGTCTCTCTGTATTATTCTAAAGGGACTCGTCCCAGAATAAATAAACGTTTATTATTATTAAAATCAGAGACAAAATACAAAATTTTAAGTATTTTATTTTCTCGAAAAGTTTTGCAGAAAAATGAACTAAGTACCTCAAAACATGAAAAAAAAATCCTCTGAAGTTGTGTCCACAAACGCTTTTTTTTTAGATATTCACACCTAAAGATTTTCGTAGTTATGAATTATTTACGTTATATGAAATGAATAAAATCTATTTATTTGTTCTGACTACTTTATTAATTAAATTTTAACATTAACATTCATATTAAATGTTGTACAAAAAGAATTCCTAGAGCATTAAGACAGGCTCGGCATCTTTCTTCAACAGCAGGTGTGGCAAAACGACACTGGATATGTGTTATTGTTTTACAAGATTCAATTATCCTTCTTCGTATTTATCTCTAAACAAAAAAATCCAGTGGTGTCAGGTCTAGAGAGCGTGCACGCCAAACCACTGGTCATCCACGGCCAATCCATTGATTTAGATATAGGATATGATTGAGCAAGTCCGGTCAACGACCTTTCTTACATACGAAGAATGATAATTGAATCTTGTGAAACAATAACACATATCTAGTGCCGTTTTGCCACACCTGCTGTTGAAGAAAGATGCCGAGCCTGTCTTAATGTTCAAGGAAATCACTTTGAACAACATTTAATATGAATGTTAACTTTTACATTTAATTAATACAGTAGTTAGAACAAATAAATAAGTTGTATTTATATCATATAACGTAAATAATTCATAAAAATGAAAATCTTTAGGTGTGAATATCTCCTAAACAAAGCATTTGCGGACATATATTCAGAGGAATTGTTTTATTGTATTGAGGTCCTTAGTTCATGTTTGCAATTTAGCCACTTAACCCTGAAACGCCCTGTATATTCTTGAAGTCAGATAGCTGGTGACATCGAATGTACAAGGAGTGATTATTTACAAAATGTTCCTCAGGATGAAATTTAATTCCAAAGTTGGTATTTTGGAAGAATTAAATTGAATGAAATGTGATAACGATTTATATTAAGTTATAGCTGAAAGTAAAAGACGAATTCCAAGGAAATAACAGTACCTATTTTTATTTTTTTTGCACTACTTTATTGCATTACTTTTAGGAGTTTCAAAATTCGCCCTTTTAAAATTATTTTTACATTATTTTTTTTTACTTAAAAAATGAATAGCTAATTTTGCTGCCAGAAACCACCTTCCATTTCAGTCTCATATTGTCACTTGGAAAGCAGTTAACATGTTCAAAGACAATATAGCGGCGACCACCCTTTTGGCACTTTTTTTTTTTTTTTTTTGATATTTTTTCTAACTTAATTGTTAAAAAACCTCTGATAAAACCATTTCGTACTTAATTACAATCATTAATCGATGTGAAACCTATTATAAATATATTTATATTTTCTCCTTGTGTAAATTTAGTTTCATGTGTTCAGTCATTCATGATCTTTTCTTTCTAAAAATCTATAGTTTTTATTCAGGTGTGGAAATTAGTATGAGAAATTGAACATAATATTTTTATTAACTAAATTATGATAGAGTTCATATTAAAATAACGCAAAATTATTTATTCGAAACGTACTTTATTCAGGTATGGACCTCAAATATGGATTAATTTAACATTTTAAAAAAAAATTATCTAAAATGACATACATATTCCTGAAAAAAAAAACTTTTTCATAAGTTACTGGTTCAACTAATTTCATTCAGAAGTGCCGAAAAAAAATTTTTGGAAAATAAATGTTGGCACAATGTAATAAGTAAAGAAAGAAACGTATTCGTTATGATTATTCGATAGTTGATTTCTAGAGTGCATTAAAATTTTATTTAAGAGTTACTGGCTATAACCACATAGTAGATCGAATGGTGGAAATGGACACTATGACGAACTATTAATACAGTGTTTCAACTGCCTCCTGCAGTGCTACATCCTACGCCCTGAATACGACCTGCAAAGTGGGTCGAAACGTCAGCAAAAATTAAAATAATCAATATATTTTAATTTATTATTTATTTGAACGCACGCCCGACTAACTCCTTTTCATATTAATACCACTGACATGATTTATCAAAGGGAATCTAGCTTTCAGAAAATTATGGTTGAAGAAGATGAAGAAGTCTATAATCTTTGCTTTGTGGATACTATTTAACCAAACAAAATATCAATATAGTTTGATAAGAAATTTATTGATATAAAAGGATACGTCTATATTTAAGAGAGCCAGACATCTACTAAACTTCCAAAAATTGATGTAAATAGCTGTATATTCAATTGAGTATGAGTTGAGCTCCTGTTACCTTCTACTCTCCTGATACAAAATAAAAATTTTAGATTAAAAACTTGTACGGCGAACAGTATTCATCTGGAGATGGTAGCTTGATTTTATCTAGGTGACAGCTGTTATTTTCCAATCTAGACTTTTCCCCTTGAATACAATATGATTATATAATATTAAATATTATATTATATGTAATATTATTTATATTTTATTTTGATAAAAGTATAATTATAATGAAATAGAAAAGGAAGTACAATATAACATTCTATGGAAAAAATTGGAAATAAAAGATTCAAATTATTGTTGGGCTTATATGAAGCTGGACAAGTTGAATATATATTCTGTTTGCAAATTAACAATAAGAATAATTATAATTATAAAGTAATTTTAATGGACAATAATGCGCGATGTATAATATAGATTTTTAAAGAAATTTAAAATCTTTCCGAACTGCGGTTTCGTTCAATTTATTTTGTGTTTATAAAAAATGATACAAGTTGATCAAATTTGTAAAATGGGTATTGGTCCGGGTATAATATAGGGGTATAATAGGTGTACTACTCTAATAAAATATATATAAAAAAATTATAATGGTAATAGTAGCTCTTCACTGACTTTATCAGATTTCCAGCTCCAGTTTCAGTGAATTCTTGATTCTACATAATTTGCCCCAAACTAATCTTTATAATGGTCTTAATGTCCAATATGTTATCGAATTTTCCAAATCTAGAGAGCTATTCTTCCATAATTAACTTCAGGCCCATCCCGAATCACCTTGCTTACTCCTCGATTCCTTGTAATCCACCTAGGCATCTGAAAAGAAGATGGTCTCGGGAATTTCTAGTATTAGAGTTATTTTCGGAATGATATCAATGAAAAGTTTTTCTATCTCTTTTGTTCACGCCACCAAACCTAGATCTGGTTTCGAGTATATCATAAAATGCTTTATTCTATAATTTAAATAAAATGTGAATGTGATCTGTGAACTCTATTATAAATACCCTAGAGACAGATTGTAATATTTTTCAATAAATAAGTTTTAAAAAAATGTAAATAAAAAATGCCCGATACCTTACGTAATCAATTAAACATTTTCTTAACTGATTATTTTTTAAAATTATAATTGCAAGTTAATGGATTTCGCAGAATATCCTGTCTTATATTAATATTTAAAGTATCTGGCACCAAATTTAAAAGTGAAGTTTTATCCAAACACATGTTTAAAATTATTGATGGAAAGCACACCTGCAAGTCAGATGTTTCTATTTAGTTTAACTGGATCTAAAAGTGACTTTTTGTTTACTCATACTGTAAATATATTTCTAGAAAAATAAATGGATCTAATGCCTAGTCAGGACACCAGTGATTAAAGTAGTGATATTTACAAGTTATCACATCACCTATATTGCTTAATCACATGGCTTTGTTAATTTTTTTTTTGACATATGATGTTACATAACCTGTGAATATTAGCAACTATAGTTCAGTATTTATCACGATAGGAATTCAGCACCTCATTAAGAATATATCAAACAAGGAGAAAGCTGTCTCTTTCTGAAAGAAAAGGGAATGAAACAGAAGACGAAACAATACTCGCAGGGGCATAATATGTATCCAAGACTGAGGGATCAAGAGACAGATATTGATGCAGTCAGAAAATAGATGTAAGAAAGGGTACGTAGCAAGAAAATAGTATTTTGTGATTTTAAAACATTATGATTAAATTATGATTAAAACAGTAGATTAAAATGTTTGTATGAGTAATACCAGACCTCAAGAGCTAAACAAAAGTTCATATAAACAATTTGCCAATTTCGAACAGAAAAGTAAGAAATCCAGGTTTTGTATTTTGTTTTTATGATTCGCATTTTTTGTTCATAAGAAAGAGAGAAATACTTTATTAATAAAAGTAATGCTGGCCTACTACATAGGGTTGCTTCGTACACTGCATACTTATCAATCCATACGGACATTAATTTTATATTATATTTTTCTATTTTTTAATATACATATATATAACATATCTTCCTTTCTTTTCCCCTTTCATAACAATACTCTTACAA